GGGATCGTTGGACTAACGCAGATATCTCGGTAGACCATTCGATACTTGTATGACAAACTTATCTTTTTCCATGGTATGTGGACATAGGGAACTGTGGAAATATGCATTTGGTAATTGAGATTGTAGCATGTCGTATTTTAATTAATTTTATCATAATGAAATGAAATTTCCATACAGACTCTTAAATGAACAATTCATAGCAGCTCATAGAATGGTTTCATTTTTTATTTTTATTTTTGTATCACAAACTATTTTGGCATAACATGTTTCATTTGTTCTTGAAGACTAATTGCATTTACCTAGGGATCCTTGTTTGTGTAAGAAACTTGCCTTAAAATAAAATGATAGGAAATTGCAAAAGTATTCATTAGGTATTTGAGGTCGTAATTGCATTCTTTGGGTCATAACTCAATGAAAAATATTCTCCTATCTTTTTCATGCATGAGCATTAACGGGTGGTACGGACAGAAGGTAATTTATTTTGTCGCACCGCATTTGATACTTGTTCCAATGCAATTTACTCGACCTTAGTCATCAGTCGATTGAAATGAAAGCATCAAGCAACCCCTCCTGGATTGTGTCACGAACAAGTTCTAGAATGTTATGATTTGTGAGAGGAAGGGAAGTTTGGAAATTCCTTCTTTGAGGTCATAACTCAATGTATTCAAATTTATCGTATCATTTTTTCAATATGGCAGGTACAATTTCCTGGGCTTGAGTCGATGGTTCTCTCCCACATGGACAATTTAAGCAAAATATGGACCGACAGTCCTCGAAATACTCTCACTTTTGAACATTTACGGAAAGTGAAGGTTGACAATTGTAAGAGCCTTGAAAATCTATTTCCGCATTGGGTGGCTACAAGTCTAACCCAACTTGAGAAGCTTCGAGTGGAGTCTTGTGGGATCGAGGAAATAGTCGTGAGGGGAGATGACACTCCACACTCGACTACTAATCAAGTTCTTTTCCCGCAACTGACCTCTCTGGTGTTCCATGATATGCCACGACTCAAGAGCTTTTGCCCTAACTCGCCTACTTTGAATTGGCCATTCTTGAAGAAATTGCGAGTGACTCATTGTGACAAACTAAACATGTTGTCTTTTGCTGCGACCATGAACAAATGGGCTCAGAGAGATGATCAACAGGACCTTTCAAACCAAGAAGCACACTCTTCATTTGAGAGGGTATGATTACAACTATTCTCCCTTGGTTTTTACTTTTTTCTTTAAAGCACTTACTAGTCTTATGTCCACTATATAGTCAAGTCATATCATGATATTATAGAAAACATGATATCCCTTGCCTAACAGTTTGTCGATAACACAAAATATTTCTAACGTCTTTAAGCACACTTTTCATATGTGGACACCTAGAATGTTTTTAGTAACACTATCAGTGCATCTCATCACCTGAAATTTCAAAGAACTGCATTTTTTGTTGACAGAATAAGATATTCCTAATAAAAGATGAATTTGGTCAAGGTTGTTGCCGTACCGCCTCTACTTAAAAATTCTCTTAAAAATTTTCAATGCGAATCAAAAATGTGAATTTCCTATGGACTAAATTGAGAATCGGGCACTGACATTGAGCAATTCCTTTTCAATTCGTAGCATGATGACCATCTTTCTTTTGATGTTTTTTGGGTAAAATGGATTTTCATTTGTTTGTTTGATCATTCCTATGCCAATACAGTTCTTTCCCTTTCTATCTAATCATTTTAGTATGGGCGCACAGCTTACTCTGGTGGGCGGATGGCCATAGTGGAGCATTTGTTTATAGTTTGCATTTTGTAGCACGACTTTAGAAGCTTGAGACTCATATGCAAGGCTCTAGAGATTAATGAAATGTAATAACAGGGCCACCTTCCATGGGAGTTAACAGACTTAAGTTTACCTCTCAGAGCACATGATTTATTGCTGAACCTTGTTGAATTTACTTCTCTCAGTGTATTGGCAATTTTGCAGGGCATTCCCACCTTAGAGGGACTTTTATTAGTCGATAAGGATATTCCAATGATACAGAATGAAAAAATTTCTGATGACATCTTTGGCAAGCCAAAAGCACTAACATTGGCATGCTTTCATGATGAAAAGGCGGTCTTTCCTCCCATATCCCTCCTACGGAGATTTCAGAACCTACAAAGTCTTGAGGTCTTCTGTAGTTCTTTTGAAGATATATTCCCTGATGAAGGGCTTGTTGATGAGGGAAAATATCCGGTGCTTGAAAATTTAAGAGAACTTAAGTTAAGCAAGCTACACAACTTAAAGCGTGTTTGGAGAGAAGACTATTTAGTGGCAAAAATTCTTCAGAGTATTGACAAATTTGAGGTTTGGGATTGTGCCAGTTTGGCAACATTATTTCCAGCCGCGACATCCTTTCGGAATTTGACGAAGTTAGTGGTGAAGAATTCCTCTGGATTGATATATCTAGGGACAGTTTCAGCGCTCATAAATTTGGTGCATCTCACTGAAATGACTATAATAGGATGTGAAAGAATGAAAGAAGTGGTAATGAACGATGGAGATGATGAAGGAAAAGTGATTTCTCTTGGGAAGCTAAGATGGTTGACACTCCAACATCTGCCAAGCCTAGAATGCTTCTCATCCATCGTAAGTTGTAGCTTTAGGTTTCCATCCTTGGTTGGTATCAAAGTGGAAGAGTGCCCGAAAATGAAGATCTTTTCTAAGGGTACACCAAGCACACCAGAACTACATTATGCCACACTGTTTAGACACGAGTGGGAAGGAAACTGGGAGGGTGATCTCAACACAACTATACAAAAGTTATCAGCATAAACAAATGCCCATAAAATTGGTAAGATCCCATTAACGTCGTTCTCATCCATTATTTTTTCCGCTTGCCTCTGCTTCTCAAATTGTCCAACACCTGAAGCACCATGAGTTCTAAAGTTTTCATCTTTATTACTTGTATTGTCGCTAATAGGAGGGAATGGCAGGTGATGCAAGCGATACAGAGATTCGGAAGTTTACTGAGGCACAATCAAAAGCTTGAGATGAAAAAATTTATTGAGGTAATAGATTCTATTTCCAATTTCCCTCTTTCTCTTTAATAAAATCGCGATTTCGCAGAAGAAGTGAAGGACGTCCGTTTTTTGTTAAGAAATAAACGATGGTAACAAATTTCTTGCGTGGATGCTAAAAAAATCAGGGTTAGAATTGTCTCTTCGCCCAAAAAAAGCTACGGATTAGACACGTGGGCCCCTGAAGGTAGGCCCCCCATAAATTATTACCGTGAATAAAATGACTTGCAATATGATAACCGTTTGCTAATTGATTATAAATAGGTGAATAACATAATTTTCTCATAGTTTGCCAACTCAGCATCACGGCCTAAATCGGCACCATCCTCTTTTTTCATAAGTTACTTAAGCAATCCCATTTCCTTCTTTTCTCTTCAACTCTCTTCTCATTCAAGCGAATTGAAAATGTCGATCCATTCTTTTCTTTTCTTTTCTTTTCTTTTCTTTTCTTTTCTTTTTCACGAGGAAATCGCATAAAAAATGTTAAACCTTTCGCTTAACGTACAATCAAGTTCTAAATTTTGAAAAAGTGATTAAATCATAAACGTTTTGAGTCAGATGCAGTCAAGTCCTTCCCGGTGACCACTCAACCGAAATCAATTTTCTAATAAGTATTGCTCTCTTGTGATCAATACAGCAGTAGGTACGGATTAAAGTCTAGTAATCACACAACTGAAATAATTAAGGATGAACTTTAAAGCCATCAGAGACATTGAAGGAGGATGTTCCATCAGAGGACTAGTCTTTCACCTTTTCAACTTATGTAACAATGAATGAAATCGAACAAAAATAATCATGAATATTACCCAAAATAGCAACGTTGAAATTTCACATTTTCAACTAAAATTTAATCACCGTAGAGATGCGGGATTCACGGCTAAAGAGTTAGAGCTCGGACCCCATCAATTTTTTGAGGAATTGTTTCATTAGCTATTTTAATGATCGGCAAGTTTTGGCAAGAGTTTTTACGCCTAATTCCTGCACCGATCCGCTCATTGGTCAAGTCTTCTAACTAGTGGGCTGAATGTCTAATGGCGATGCCCATACTTATTACATGTCACTTTGTCAATCAATTCTATCGACTTGAGTCTTAGTACACCTCTAACATTATTCTTGATACAATTTCGATCAACTGACAGATTGTTTATCTTTTCATCCATTCAATTCCATGTGTGTTCTTCTTAATGAGCTTCCTCCAGCATTCATTTGTTTTTAAACTTCTCATTCCAGAAATGAATTTCTTCTGCAATTAAATGCCATATTACTAGTTTAGGTTCAGACGTTACAGCTTATTACACAAATTGTGCTCAGGGGATGAATTCTAGTAGCCGGAGAGAAGATGAACAGCGCCGGCAAAGTTTTGCACTGGAGACACCTCATTTCTCCAAGATCATACTCTCTCTAAACGAAGGAGATGTCTGTGTGTTCGAGCTCATTGGAATTGATAATATTGAACTCAAAGTCTTCATTTTCAGAAGGAATGTCAAGACTTGGGCGTAAACTCTGGTATGCCCATAGAAAACGCTCTGCTTCACTGTGTTTTGTTTAGTTAATCAGATCAAAGAAAGCAAACCTTTCTGCTGCAAGTAATTGAATGGGGATGTACTTCCTGATGTTTTTTTTAGAGCAGCGAACATTACACCTGGACATTGAATCTTCCAAAATTCCAAGTATGTGTGTGCCTAATTTTCAACCTCTTAGCATATTGCGTCCTTTTTCGACAAAGTATAAATCGAACTCATGCGGAGCATGGGATCGATAAAGTAAAAGGTCAAAGGCAATCCTTATCTTCTGTTGCTCACATGGAGAGTTGATCTATAACAGAGACTTTAAGTATATTTCTTCAAGTAATATCTGTCACCATTCAGGTCGTCACAGAAAAGAAGAGAAAGAATGTCCTGCACCAACTCTGTTTTCATGAAATATGCAGTGGTCTCTAGATTCTAAGGAAGGTCGTATAGAGGATAAATCTTGCAAGCCATCAATAACACAAAAGGAAGTTTCAACAAGAGGGCTAGTCTTTCACCTTTTCGCCTTACAAAATGGATGAATGACATCACTAGAACAATAATGAGTCTTACAATAATTATAAAACTGAATTGCCATAAAATTTCCAGAACTCATGGTCAGCAGGTATCCCAATGTTGCTGCTTGTATCATTCCATCTGTCAGTAAACTTGCTTGTATCCCCCCAAATAGAACATCAGCAGTCGAACTATGCAGCAGCTCCTATGAGTCGGACACAGCTGGATCAGAAGAAACAGTACTGCTGGGCTCGCCGTTTTTGCTGATGAGATTGCTGAAGAAGCGGCCATTGGCTTCTGCTCCATAGATGTGCCACATCTTGGAGCGTTTCGTCTGCGAGTATCTCTTGTTCTCCTTAGTCATGGGAGTTACTAGAGGGACTCTGTCGGCAATAATCAAGCCATAACTTTAAAGCCCCCACGTACTTCATCAGCTTCATGGTTCTGACTCACCATCAAAGGAGGAAGTCGCAAGCGCTCCAAATACTTTCCTCCATCACGCTCCCACAAACAACCCCAATACTCTCTCTCCTCATCTTCTCCCACCATTACAATCTGGAATTCAGTTCCAACCATGACATGGACTATTATGGATGAACAATTCAAACGCACTCGACCAATGTAATTCGGAAAGCACACCAACCTTTCCTTGGCGGATGTCCTCGACTCGATCGCTTCTGGAATCGAAACAAAAGCCTGCTGTGGGTCGTTTTGGGACTCAAGATACCACCGTTCTTTGGAAAGGAGCAGCAGAGAAAGCCTCCTCCTCGGCGAGCGCGAGCTAAATCAGGAGATTAGGGGCTTCGAGCAAGTCCAAGTTCAAGATCGGTTAGACCGATCGGAGTCTTCGATTTGGGGCCTTTTCCTTCCCCGTTGACAAATGCCCTTGAATTCGAAGCGGTCGGCCCCTGCATTGTAAATTTGCACGGGGCAAATTCGAAGAGATGAGGCTTCCTTTACTATTTTGAGGCGCGCCGTTTCGACTGAAAACGTATAAATAGATTCTCCACTATTTTCTTAGAACAAGTAATTTTATGGGTTAATATCACAAAAAATCCCAAATTGGTACATTTATGATAAATTTACCCGAACTAATTTTTTTATCACCAAAAATCCTGAACTGGTACACCTATGACAAATTTACCAAAAACTAATATTTTGACCACCAAAAACCCTAAACTAGTACACTTGTGACAAATTTACCTTTTGTTAAATTGGATTAATACCATGAAGAATCACAAACTTGTACACCTGTAAACCACAAACCGATACACCTGTCAATTGTCACGTGTCATCCAACTCAGCAATTTGACGGTAAAATTTAACGGAAATTAATGGAATATGATAAAATGGAACTTTAATTAGTTGTTAACTCTATCTTCACCATGTGTACAGTACGTTGCCTTGAAAAACAGGCAAAGTATTTCGTACTTTAGATTCTTGTGTTAACAACGGTGCTAATCCATCAAATGGGTTGCGGTACTCGCGGTCGCATTACTTGCAGCAGTTTGGATAGGACTCCGAGTAGCAACAAAGACACGTGAAATGTCGATAGAAACTCAAAAATTATAGCTATCATGTGATCCTGCAGGTAAATTACGCGTCATTATAGCTTTTTGTCCTCAAATTATTCTCAACACTTGCGGCACCTCTCGCGGTACCAGCCTCACTACCATTCGCTCGATCCCTTTTTGCCGATACCAACCAAGTATCAGTGAGAACGGTAAGCTGCTCATTTATCAGAAGCTTAGGCAATATATAATGAAATTGAAACATACATTAGATGGTCCTACAATAACCTCGGCTGTTTTATCATCCTTCTCAGGTATACGCCTTTTTTCCCTATTCCAAGCAAGTATAAATGGGAACAGTGAGCCACTCATTTACCAGAAATTTAAGCAGTATAAAAAACGAATTGAAACATACAGCAGGTGATCCTGCAACAATTTCGGCTGATTGATCAACTTTCTTAGTTGTACCCCTTTGCAAATGCACTTAAAGTTCAAATTCATTCATGAAATTCTGGCTGAAGTCAGCTTCAATGCTGGACCCTCGTGGACCTTTTTCCTATTTGCATAAACATGCCAAGCACAATTTCTGTGCTCTGCTAAAGGTGCTAGACGTGCAACAGCTTGAACCAGTCTTTGAACCAGTCTCTCCAAGAGTTACACAAGGTATACAGTCGTCAACATGAATGTAACATGAATCAATGCTACGTTTGCATACCTTTTGTTGATCACTAATAAATGCCCACCCAAGGCCATAATTGATGCCCAAATCATGGAACAACATTTCCAAAAACTGCCCCCAAGATTTCTCGTACTCACCTTCTTCAGTCGCCCAAGCATATATGTAACAGTCTGAATTTTCGATCCTTTTCCCGGGATTTAGGAAATGAATTTGATCAATGCACTTATAGTGAGATCTAACTCGAAAATGCGCTTTCTCGGGATGCTAACCTTAGGGGTAGGGCCGTTACGGGATTGAGTTCGCACGACCAAAGAACTCAACCTGGGTTCAATCTTCGACCATATGGATTGACGAGGGAATGTTTTGAGCCAACCGAGACCGGTCTACTTGATTGATCGTGTCCGAAGGGAACTAGCGACAGACCCTCGCAATTATATGACAACCGAGGTCGTCCCGGGTGGAGTAAACTTAAACGTGATTTGACTTAGTGTCGGTCACGGGTCGAGAGCGCGTAATTCCAGAGAGCCACCCGTTAGCCAGAGATAATCTAAAGTCGCGATTGTTCAATTTTAGTCATTTCTTAGAATTCGGGCCTGGGAATCGAGAATTTTGAAAGTGACAATTTTGGACGGCCGATGACGTTTTTGGCTTGGCCAACCTTGGGGCCACCCATTTCTGCAAAAAAATGGATTTCGGTCCGGGACCGGAAAAATTACGGTTTTGCCCCTGAGGACACCAATGTTGGATTTTGAGGTCATTTGAGGTTATTTTTTGAGGCTAGCATCATTTTTGGGTGGCCACGCATACCGGGAGTCGTTATGGACAAAAATTGGAATTTCGACAAAAATTGGAAAAATAATATTATTTTATTCCCGAGACTTTGACGTGGATTTTCGAGGGCTTGCGCGATGAATTTCGCGATTCCGACACCATATTATGTTGGCCACGCACATATGGAACGCGTATGTGCGAAAATTGGAATTTTGGTTCGGGATCGGAAAATTACGAAAATACCCCTAGGCCATTTTTAATTAATTCCGAAATTTGAATTAATTTTGGGATTAACCAAGGTGAGTTAGGCTTAACTCAGGTCTGGTCAACCATGGTTAAGAGCAAATGACCATTCTACCCCTAAATTATTGGATGAGAAGGAAAGATAGCCATTGGATCAAGGGCAAAATTGTCCAATTGGCCTAGATTGAGACACATGGATTCCACTCACACCATCTTTGACCTATTTGACCAGACCCTCTCTCTCTCCTCTCAGCCTATTCGGTCAATTCCCCCGTGAAAATTCTTCTTCTTCACCATTTCTTGTTCTGCAGTTCGGTTACTGCATTTTCTGGTATTGTTCACGCCGGAACAGTACCAGCCGGAGCTGCTGGCCGCCCACCAGCCGTCGCCACAACACCCTTGGACCTCCTCTCACTGTTCAGCCACCACAACCCCCGGTTTTTGTCCAAAACAGCCTTGTTTCTCTCTTTTTCTCTTTCCGTCTGCATAAGCAGATCACGGAGCTTCAGCCGGAGACTCCGATCGCTGTCCGTCGACACCCGGCCCGTCCAGCCTCGCAGTACGTCGCCGGCTCCAGCGCCGTCCGTACGGTGCCCCGTCTTATTCGCATTCACCGTCCGTACGGATCACTTTGTTCACGCCGGATTGTACGGACGCCGCTGCCTTGTCCCCTAAAGCACTGCACCGACCACCGCCCAACCCCTGTCCGTACGGTGTCCGCACGAAAGCACTGTTCACCGCGTCCGTACGGGTGCACTGTTCACGCCGTCCGTACGTCGCCGCGACGTCGCTCCCATTGCTGCTGCTGTCCCGGCCCATTCCAGCCCCGTTCTGTCTCGCCTTTTTGGGTAAGTGTCTCCCCCAAAAATTACTTAGGAGCTCGGGTATTTCTAGACTCGTTTAGGACCCGGTTTAGGCGATTTTGTGACTGTTTTAGGAACTGTTCGGGACTGATTTGAGTGACTGATTATTTGGTGGTTACGGACTGATTAGGCGAAGAATTTTGAGGTTTAGGGAGCTTGGATTAGGGCTGTGATGTTGAGGTTGACCGGAATTAATTTGTGCGATTAATTATTGGGATTGTACCTTGAATGGAAATTTGTGCGTGATTGTACGATTTGTGGTAGTTGGCTGATTTGGGATTGTGTTTCGGGTTGTGTACGTGTGGTCGTATATGTCACGTGTGTGGCCGTGAGGTGTGATGGTGTGGCAGTGCGATTGCGCAATATGTTCGCGTGCCAAGAATGTGTGATTGTGCTTTGGGATCGCGTGTTATATGTGCATGATTGTGTGGTGTACTTGCGTGGTGAGAATGTATATTTGCAAAGTGTATGTGACTTGTGAATTGTGTGTGCAATGTGGAATTGTGTTGGGTCGTGTGGTTGTTGGCCGTGTGTAAGTGTGGTTTGAGTGGAATGAGGATATGGAAATGTGGTTTGGTTGGAAAGATCCGTCCTGAGGCGTGTACGTTTACGCGGGACGATGCCGTCCCTGACGAGGTGACGATGCCCGGCCCGACGGGGTGTCGATGCCTGACGAGGTCAGAAGACCGTTGGCCTGATGCGTTTTACGCGGGCGCGGTAGAAGGAAAGTGTGTGTAGGATTCCGTCCTGCGGTGTGTACGTTTACGCGGGACGATGCCGTCCCTGACGAGGTGATGATGCCCGGCCCGACGGGGTGACGATGCCTGACGAGGTCAGAAGACCGTTGGCCTGATGCGTTTTATGCGGGCGCAGTAGTGGTGGAAAGGTTGAAAATGAGTGGGATTTGGCAAGACAAGCGAGAGGATTGTGGAAAGTGACGCATAGTGTGAGTAGCGTGCGAGTGTGTTTGTATCGCGCGATGTGATGCTTAATTATGGGGTAGAAACTGCTAGGCACGGTATGGGACGTGCCCAAGTGGTTTCTGTCTTATAATTGAGGCACGCGCGCGTTTGTGATTCCTTACTGTGATGTGTTGGCTGTGTTATTGTCTAACGTGCAGGAACGCGCGTGATGGATTCCAGGTAGGGTCGCATGTGATTGTTAATTTGGCCGATCGTTGTGTGTTATGTGTGTTTTCGTCTGGCGGTACGTGAGTGCCTACGTGGGGTTTGGGGTTGTACACTTATTGAGATTCGTCTCACGGTTGTATAACCGCCACTTTGAGACCCTACCCTAAACCCGGAAGTGCGCCTTTTCTTTTGGAAGTCCGGGAGGCTGCTTGTTGGTGCCAGTGGAGCGCAGGTGAGTTCCGAGATTCAAGCCAGAAATTCAGAAGCAGAATGGAAGAGGGCGACCCCTAGGTTTTTCCATAGGGTGTTTTAGGGGTTGTATAACTTGGGTTATCCGATAGTGAAGTTAAGATAACCAAACCCCGAACTTTTGTTTAAACGGTGACGAGGATGTTAGTCGTATTTATGTCGTAATATGATGTTTGTATATTTGGTGTTGTATGAATATGTGGTTCTTTGGATTGTTACGTTGTTCTACCCCGTTGTCGTCATTATTTGTCCGGGGTTTTGTTATTCGCTTCCGCATGTGGCTCTGATGTTTGGGTTGGGTCGGCGACGTTCCTGGGACGTCGCATCATTTCGACCGGAGCAGGGGATGTCGCGAGCTCGTTGGGGTTCGAGGCGTGACAATATAAATACATTTGATTGTTACCATCCTACCTACCTCCGTGAGTTGTGCTCCTCCCAAAGCTGTTTTTAGAAACCCCTTTCGTAATTCCTCAAAGCCCACGTAAAAACCTTTTAAATTCATTTCCATTGCCAAGTTCATACTCGAATGTGCAATGCACATGCTCACCCGGCAAGGCACCATTATAAGACCTCAACTGTTTTATGATGATCCTCGGACGCACCTCTGATCATATCGAGGGCAATGCGACTTGCTCGATTGCATTTAATCCTTGTCACGGTCGACCCATACTTCAATTTCAAATCTTCCTATAACATCTTTGCAGAAAACTTAGGATTCAATCTAAACGTCGGTAGGTAATCTTTGGCAATCCATTTTGCTGTGCCTTGTTTGTTTTTCCAACACCTCAAAACACTTGTGTTCTGGCTCAACACGCTCAACAATAGACATCCTCTCCTTTTGGAGCTAGCTACCAAAAACTCTCCATGGGCGTCCCTTTAGACACTTAGCCTCCATAGTCTCCGCACTCCTGGGCCATCTGAGGCCCATTAAAAATTGCATATTTTTGGACAGCCTGTTCAAAACTGAGATGGAGATTCAAGTCTCTTTCCTATTGAGATGGAGATTCAAGTCTCATTCCTATTTCAAAACCGAGGTTCTCTCAATCAGAAACGAAACAAAATCAAGCTTCACCGTTCGCATTCTTTACCTAAGCTCCTTTTCATTTTGCTTAGCCTCCTTGTAGACCTTGTTATCTGACAAAGTATTCCTCGTGAAATAAGCTTACCCTCAAACTCGCATTCACTTTGATCCACGAGTTTGTAACTAGAATCATTGTCTGAATCGTATGTAATCTTCTCCGTTGACAAGAGTCTCCACCTTGGAATTATTTTTTTTTCAAAAATTAACAATAAAAATAAAAAATTCTACTGGGCCCCGGAAAATTAACATGTAAAAAAAAGAGCCGGCACGAAATGATCTGGGCCATACTGGGCCCCGTCCGAACCGCCCTTCCGCCATCCGTACTTTGCTGCAGTCATCTATACACTCGCCTAGAGACAGCTGCTTTGAAAAGATGTGTGGCATAAAAATTGTTCGTTTTTCATTTCTCTATTTTTTTTCTTTCCCACAACCTCACGAAATCATCCAAAAACACAGCAATTTGAGAGCTGTGAAATACGAATGTGAAATTAGAAAAACACAGCAATGATGGAGCATGACAGAATCAACCACGAGCGCAACTACTCGATTGGTTGGTCTTGTTTATGGTAATTTGAGAGCTATGATATACGATTTTCCACATGAATTGTTAAATCAACAAACAACATGGATTGATTCAAGCATAACCGGAGGTAATATGGTTTTGAAGAGTCAGGTTATAGTTGGGTTAACAAGATCTGGCTCTCGGTTTAGTCATAAAAAAAAGGACATTTGCATTCATGAAGATGCGACAATCGTATGGTGAGAAGTAAAACATTGAACGAAATGGCTATTGAACTTGTTTCCTTCAGAGAACATATATTATGATGTCACTCAGACATTTCATTAAATAGGTGCCATGCACTTCGATTAATGCACTTCTACTTAAATATAAGGCAAAGAATCACTATCAGGTCATCACTAAAACATCAATACACATTTGAAACTTTGATAAAGCTTTAACTAGAGACGAATTTCACTTTACATGAGCCTCAATCACGTTTTTCAGACTCGACTAGCCAGGTTAGACGAAGGATACTCGTGCCTGGTAGATGCAATATTTGACCACGAACACCAATTGAATTGAGAACCACAGTCTTCAAGACGTTGTTGCTAGTGGTTGACACTACGACCTATGAAGGGTATAGGTTGACATTGACAAACTCCACACAACTCCGGCGAGGGCGACTCATGACATAGGTGGCAATTGTGATAACTTATTCGTTGCCTTCAATATCGGTGCGGGGAGATGAGGGCGAGATGATGATGCGATGATATATGTTTTTTTCGAATTGGTCGTTCCCGCCTAATTAAGATATCTGACTCAACCAAGAAGGTCAAGATCATTGATGTACCCAAAATTTACTTGAACACAGCTGGAGATCATGATATTCCAAGACACAAGATGATTCTTATTCGATCTGGCTCTGAAGGTGTCCATTTCTAAATAGTAGTTGAGCTCAACATCATAGCAAAACAACATAAACCTAGCATGCCCATTTTTAATGGTTATAGAGTTGAGCAGGTAACCAGAACCTTCCAATCTCAAGTGCAATTGACCAAGACATGACAAATGAGTCATGCGGCAGAGAAGACGTCTGGTTTTGAACGATTCTAAACTTCTCACCAGCCCATGAACAAAGCCAAACAAAAGAAACCAACCTCAACAGACCCTTTTACTTCCCTTGATTTGTGTTAGAAATATACAATATGAATCACCATTGTCCCTTCTTGAAGCAACGTACAATTGCCACTCCTTATAAGCTCATGGCCAATGAATGTGTCCCATTTCTGCTTCATGTGATTGTCCTGGAAATTGTCACTCCTGCGCCTATCTCTCAAAAGGATCTGAATTCATGTCTTTGAAATACCTAAGGGCTTCCGTGGGTCTCCTATTCTTGCCATAACCATGATCATGGAATTTCAAGCAAATGCATTCTTCCCGGGCATGGCATTAAGAAAAACAAGAGACGGTCCGAAGATCGCCACTCTTGGCAAAGCATGAAATCACTGCGTTCCAAGAGAAATCATCCCTGCACGGCATGTAACTAACATATCCAGAGACTCAGCCGCCTCTCCCATCCTCATGCATCCTTCAACCGTCGTTTTCCCAGTGAAGTTATTCCTCTGAGGCATATCATCAAACAGTCACCGTGCATTGTCCATTTGACCGCACATGGTGTAAGGCTGAAGGAAGAAGAAGGTTTCCAAGCGTGACGCCGAAGTTCAAGAGACTAATTAACTCCTCCGAATTTAAATAACATCTTCAGTAACAATCAAAATTGTCTAACCGGTCATCACTAACCTTGATCATGGAGCAGAACACCAATGGCCTTGATCGCATTCGACCCCTGCTCGACGATCCGCAGGTAAACCGGTCCCTCATGACCGGGCTTCAATAGGCAAACCACCTCGTAGAGCTTCTTCAGACGTACGATTACCACAATGTATGAGGATGTAAGAACCGAGCAACCACAATCAGAATTGGTCAGAGATTTATGATCGAAGGAGAGATTCAAACTTCTCAATCAGAACGAATGGCGACGAAGATGCATCAACGAAGAAAATGCAGCAACGGAGGACGAGCCGAGATTTCTGCTACCGCCATCGGCTTCGGAAACCACTCGCAAGCTTCTCAGGCTCCTCCTGATCCCGACACGTCGATGCCAGCGGGAACTATTTGCTTCATCGATTTGCTTGAATCCACTGAACTGTTGATTAAATGAAGATCCGATGAAGGACTCCCAAGGATCTCGCCATGATGGCGCTCGGCAACGATGGAAATCCAGCGATTCGATGGGATGGGATCGCTCGACGGAGATATTCAGACGCGATGCGGAACGGATCGAAGTTGCGACCGCGGGGCTGAAGGCGCGATGCAGAGAGCTCCGCCATGGGAGACACCGGGAGGTCACCGTCCCGAAGGTCGGAAGAAGGGAGGGGAGGCGAGGCGGCGGAGATCACCACTCCGGCGAACCTCCGATCGGAGAAAATGGGCTACTGGGCTTGTGTCTGGGCTGCGTGCGTTTGATGGGCTTAAGAGAGGAAATGAGTCTGATATTTTCTAAGCGGGCTGATGTAATATTTATTTTTCTTGTTCTTTTCTATCTTGTATGTTTATCCATTTTTCGTTTTTTATGATCGACACGTGATTAGACATTTGCTTTAAGATAAATTTAGTGGCGTTCTACCTATAATTTGGTACACCAAATTATTAGTTTTTGAATTCTTCTAACGGTTTTAGCAATTAACTCATAATTTATCTCACATTGACTATTGCAATATGCTCAATTCCATCTAATATAGATCTGTAGCAATGGACTGTGAATGGCCCTCACATTGCTGGTAATCTTGCAGCAGTAGCGCATTCAAAGAATTTATCTCTTTTTCGGCCGTACCTGTATATTCATCCATTTAATGACTAGTGAAATCATTTTTCAATTACGCAGTATAAGAAGCTTCTCAATGTACAAGTTAGAATACGACAAACAATTTAAGCACTTTTTTTGTCAATCAGGATGTTCTATCCTTATTTCCTAGTGACATGCTGAGAATGCATCTCAAGCTCTACCTCAGTTAACTGTCAATTGACATTTAGACATGGGTTTTGTAACAAGGTAAATACAAGAAAATGTACATAAAAATAATGGCAATCACAGGCTCATTGACATGACTCGACAAGAATCCTAACTAGTTATAACCAAATGCTACAGTTAGACATCCGGTAAGAAAGAAACCCATATACTAATCTAATAATGACAAACACATAAAAAATCGTGAGAAACGAATCTTCAGTACCCAAAATCATCGATCTACATGGTGTTGACGAGCAGAATAACAACCACAAGCTTAAAGCATAAAGTAAACTTGAGACATGAAAATAGACCAAAATAGCTTATGCTTCTCTCCTTTCTGCTATGTAAATTGTAAAACAACAGCCCAACAGCCTCCCAAAAGAGACTCTTTTTCCCACCCCACCCCACCCCAACCAAGGTTCGAAGGTTTCGACTCTTAATTAATCCACTCCCAAAAAGGGGAGATGCCGCTTGGACAACATCTTGGCCAAAAAAGCCAATACTTAAGAAGTGAAAGTTGTAGCTGAAACTTGGATTTGACTGGGAACTACCTGTCTTAAGAAATATTTGCATTTTGATTGCTGGGAAGAGAATACTTACCTAATTAGATCAGCAACAGATACAATTTTCAAGTTCTTCCCTCGTGCAAACTTGCGAAGCTTAGGTAGTCTTGCCATCGAGCCATCATCATTCACTACCTCACAAGGAACTGCCACAGGTTCTAATCCAGCTAACACAGCAAGGTCGACAAAAGCCTCTATATGCCCAGCTCTTTTCAGGACACCACCGTCCCCGTACTTCAATTGGACAATATGTCCCGGCCTATTGAAATCTTCAGGTTTTCGAATCTCTAGATGCAAGAGCCAAAACTGTCGTTGTCCTGTCACGCGCTGATACGCCCATAGTCATCCCATGCTTTGCATCCTATAACAACATCTCTTAATCATCATTCATTACAAGGTATGAGAAGAGACTGATTGAAGAAAAATAACTAAGCATCTTACAACATACCATAGTCACAGTGAATGCAGTCGGAAGCGTCTCTTCATTCTCCCTCTGATTCACCAATCAAAGGAAGTTGCAAGTGCTCCAAATCTTTCGTCTTTCATGCTCGCACGAACAATCCCAAAGTGCCATACTTCACAATAAAATGCCATAGCCTCAGGTGTTAGCCATTTCTTGCTGGTGCCATCATAAAGATCACCCTCATTCTCTTTGTCCTCATCGTTGACCACCACTAACAATCTGGAGTTCAGTTCCAACCATGACGTAGGCATTTATGGATGAACAATTGAAATCTAGTCTGTAATGTAATGCAGAAAGCATACCAACCTTTCCTTGGCAGACGTCCTCAATCGCTTCAGATGAAAAACCCAAATTTGTGAAGAAGGGGGGGCCTGAAACAAGGCTGCTTAGATTTTTACCCATGAAGAATGGAAGACCGATTAGAGATTCCAAGAGACAAGGTTCGCCAACTAATTTATGACTAAATTGTCAATCTTCTCTCCTTATTTTGATTTGCAAAATTCAAGATATTAACTAAAATACGGTGCTCCACGTAGTCCTAATCATCTATATACCCTCGTGAGTTGATAATTGGTTGATACACCAATAAAATTTCAGGGCAGAGGATCTCCATTCTTATTGGACATGTCAATAAAAATCATCTTATCTTGTGCTTGAAAGTTTGAAACCCACCCCTCTAATAAACTATAGAAGTCGTGTTGCATGATGGTCCGAGCAAAAGAAATTAGTGGCAGTGCCTTTTGTTATCGTGAACGTGTTAACTAGTGCCCCTAGTGCACTTATATAAAATGTACTTTATTTAAAAATAATTTAAATTACAATGCAGTAATAATACATACATGAGAATACTACAGTTATTGCATTCAAAGCTCGATAGTTAGTACATACAAGTGTGTTCTGCACCGATTGATAGATTCCATGGAAATATTTTTTCACTAAATCAAGTATAATAACGCGAACAGAAAGAAAATGTCTGCCCCTTCTAAAATAATTGGAGTCTAATAATATTCAAAATTACATTCTATGGGGGCACTACCGACAAAAAAAATTGTCAAATTGGAATCTCCCCCTTTTCCTGGCGGACTCGTCCTCCGATGCATTTGAAGCAATTTAAATAAAATAATTCTTACTTTGGAAATCAAGATCGACCGTTCTTTTTAAGCCTAATTTTATAAAATAAAAAACACGAATTTTATCCATCTTATAAACAAATAACACGAACTTTAAAACGGATTACACAAACACACAAACTCAAATTTTTATTTAAATTTAACACCCGGTTACTCTGTTCGTTGAACCACCATCAAATAGCAACGTGGCAGCTGACGCGGCATTATGAACCATTCAGCGACTAAGTAGGTAAAAGAAAAACATGTCGTCTTCTGCATCCTAGAAGCAAGCAGACATTATTAGATAGAAAGGAAGATGACTTTGAAAAGGAGTACTAGAGAAACCTTCTCTTACAAGCAAAGTCGAATTTGAAGATTGATAGCGTGGGGCGTCACTTTGACCGATTGGAGTTTCGATTTGGGGCTCTTTTTTTCCGTTGACAATGGCCCTAAATTTGAAACGTTTGGGGCTGTGCATTGTTCATTTGCGGGGGAAGTTCAAAGAGACGAGGCTTCCTAACTGTTTGGTGCGTTGTTTCAACTGATTTAGGTACCTAAATATTCTCTCTGATGGCCACGGCTGAAAGTGTGGGTGAGGTTGGTTTTCAATGGGTTTTAGTTTTTGCCTCCACAGCTGATGGCAACGACTCAAATTCTCGATTATGGGGATGCTTTGATTAATATATTTCAGATTTGCAAGCAACCGTGAGGTCTTCGCAATCACGGTATCAAGATCTAACAATTGCTCGTTCACTATCGTAAATCGTCGAAAATATGATATCTTGTGGATGCTCACGTTCTGTTATCATGCACATTGGATCCTGCTATGAGATCTAGTAATTTGCTTTTGATGCTTGATTGTGTGTTGCTTTGCTTCCGGCAAAGACCTAATGCATAGCGGAATTTTGGAATGGTTTTATCTCTAAAAATTCTATTCACAACAAAGAACTTATATAGATGTTGGTGGCGCAAAAGGAGAACTTGAAGCAGGAGATTCGACTGAAAGAGGAGGCTAGAGAGAATGTGAATCTTGAGTCAATAACAAATCTTGAAGAGTAGATTAGTGAGTGTATGTTTGTCAATGTCGAAAATAGAGGAGAGTCATCTGCGTTGCTCGACATAGTGTTGTTGGATAGATTTTAGGATCTTATAAGTTTTTTGTAGTCGAAAACAATGGCAACTTCTTACTTTGCTTTGGTGTTGGCTTTTAGTAATGAAATCTCGATGCTTTTACTAATGAAGCAACGATACATATTACCGTCTTGTTTCGTCAACCATTCCTCAACATCACGTCTGAATGTATACACAGTGTACATCGAGGAATATGAATTAAGTGGAATTTTCATCACCTGTTTACTCCCCATGTGTACAGCACGTTGGCTTAAATAACAGGCTAAGGTGTTTCATACTTTGTGACCATTATGTATGCACACTTTGCCTCAAAAAGCAGAGATTGTCTTATGCCCTGTAACACTACATTTCTATGCATATTGCCTCAAAAAACATCCAAAGTTTCTCATACTTCGCATATCTTTAGATACCCTGTTTAAATTGAGATGGACTATTTGGAAAACAAGGTTCCTATGGTCACACCATAGATTATACAAGGAGAACCTTTCTCAATTTTAACCCTCATCATCCTCACTGTTTCTAGGAATAACAGATATGTCATCTGAGTTGTCATAGCCGCATCTACTCTTGCGGCATTAATTGGAAAAAGCAACGAAATCAAGCTCCATCATTCTTATTCTTCTCTAAGCTCCTTTCTATTTTGCCTGGCCTCCTTACATTCCTCGTTATACGAAGAGTATTCCTCTTGAACTAAGCTACTATTAGGCTCACTCTCACTTTGATCCACATGCTTGTTGTTCATGGAGGTTGCTATAGTACTCTTGAGAAGCAAGATTACTACTTTCCCTCTGGCCTACTACTCTATTCCCTTGTAAACAAATTTGTAATTGCATGTTTGGTTAAATCACACTAATGGTTAAGATTATGATGTCATAGCTATTACGGTTATAACGTAACTGAGCTATAAACTTATTGCACTGTTTGAAAGAGAGAGATAGGAGCAATGGTGATAGGCGAAGGGTGACGGTGATATGATGTTACAGTAATGGGAGTGAGCGGCGATGGTGGTGTGGACGTTAGGCAAGCGCAACACACACAAAGAGGGAGGGCGTGCATTGCTGGTCTAAGTTACCACAGTTCTGCTGGTAAGTACCTCATATTCATGTTGATTGAGATGAAAACCGGAAGTGTCACTTTAGGCTGCTTGCAA